AAGAGAGAACATCAGCAAAGGCAAACAAAGACTTGGAGGCAGGATGAGCTTGATTGAACTGAGGAAAGACCAGTGTGTGCCAATTATACCTTAAAAACAAACAAAAACAGTGTGGTCGGCGCACCCTTTGGAGCAGGCCTTGATGGTGGCTTGGAGTAGAAGGTGGTAGTGGCCATGGGAGGAAGTTGGTTGATTCAGGGTTTATTTGGGAGGTAGAGTGGACAGAGCTTGCCGGGAAATCCTGATGGGCACGGGAGTCACTGAGAGAAGCTTGAAGACCCACACTTTCCTTGGGGCGGAGGTGTTCCTGGAGGTCTGGACCCCCGGCCCAAGCTGCTTTTTTGAGGCAGGCATTCTTCAGGGTCCAGTCCCTGGGCCCTTGCCCAATAGGACCTTAAGAGTGATCCCTCATACTGCTCAAAACTGGGTAGTCTCCTCATCTCCTTCCTGGTAGACCTGGGAGTCCGGACCACACGCATTCAGCCTCCACACCCTGAATCCACCCCCAAGTCCCCACGGCCCCTAGTGATGCCAAGCGGGCCTCCTCCATGGGATTCCAGCCCCTCAGACCCCAGCACCCTGTACACTGCCCTGCATCCTGGCTTCCGTTCATGCCTGCCTCCCAGGGCCAGTACAGGCTGGGATCCCTCTTGAAGCCTTGGCAGCGAGGGTGGGTGAGTCATGCAGCCAGAGCCAGGGAGCCGGCATCTCTGCCCACACCCGGCCTGGCTAAGGCGGGCGGCATTTAGAGGCCTTTGCATCTGGATCCCGGACAGTCCCGGCACGCACCTGCCGGACCCGGGGATCGAACCTGCCAAAAGACTAAGCCACCGGCACCTTCTTTATTCCCTAGGCCCCTCCCCTTCATTTACATACCCAGCTCACCAGCTGCCAATCAGGACGAAGAGGGAGCCACCCGCAGCCAATCAGGAAGCAGCGGTGGCAGCATCGCTTGCTGGCTGTCCTTCGGCACCTGGCGGCTGGGTTGCCTGCAAGACGCAGTTCTGACTCCAGCCGTTATTGCCTCTTAATGGTAGCACTTTTAAAGAAAGGTGCAAATGCTCCTTTTTTGTTAAAACAATAAAAACATCCAGGAAGTTAAGAAAAATTTGGTTTATTATTTGAAAATGTTTTTAAAACTTCATATTTTTGTTTTGGATTAGTAACTTGGTTCTGTATTTAAAGCTTCATGAAGAATGGGACCATAATTTAAAAAGTTGTAGATGCACTATAATTTGAAAAAGCTATTCTACATGAAGCTAATTCATTTGAATCTCGGAAACAAAGCAGTCTGACATCAACTGTGGCTCTGCCACTGATGAGCTGTGGACTTTTGATTCTTAACCTCTCGCAATGCCTCAGTTTTCTTATGTTATACTGGAGATAGTAATAGGATCGTTTTNCCGTGTAGAGGTCTGACCACTGCACTGTATTTCTGAAGGTGATGTTGAATAATATTGTATGTCAACTATAATTATATATACATATAGTCACGGGATGTGGAGTAGAGAGTGGGAATGGAATCAATGGAATTGTAATAGATAAGCATGATGTTGTGGGTGGAAGGGCAGTAGATGGGGGAGGGGAGTTGTTTCTTTTGAGGGGTGAAAAGTATAACTAGTGCATTGTTCTGTACACCTGAAACTAATAATAATAATAATAATAATAATAATAATAATAATAATAATAATAAAGAGTAGGCAGGGGAGAAGGGAAGGAAAGAAAATAGAGGAAGGGAAGATAGAGAAAGAGAAATAAAACAAGAAAGTATAAAAATAAGCTATGTTTTGGTAGTATGATATTAACAGTTGACTTTATTGGTCATTCCTGGCGTCCACTGGAACATCTTATCATAGATTCTGTTAATTTTACTATCTTGTTCCATGTAACCAGATGAAAAAATCTTGGGAAAACACTCTTTTTGGATTCCCTATTAATTTTTATTCCTGTCATGTGAATTCTGTTGTACCATTTGTTCTTTAAGAAAAACTGACATGTTTTTTTTCTCTTTAGAATTGTGTTCTTAAAGGGATTTTACAGAAAAAAATAATCAGGTAGTTTAATTTAGTGGAATATTTTAATTTGTGCTAATAGTCTTTCTCTTACTAAGACTTCTTTGAATTTAAAGATACAAAGAAATGATGCTTTCCCTGAAGAACATCATGATTGTAGTGGTGGAATCTATGATGAACAAGTTTGAAGAAGATGAGATACGAAGTCAAGAAAGGAAGAAAAAAATCCAAAAGGACAAAAGCAGTAGTTACTGCACAGACAATTGCTCTGACAGTGATTCATCATTCAATCAGGTGTGTTGTTTAGTTTTTATTTATGTCTTGAAATGGTGTTTAATAGTTACTAGGTCCACTACATTCTTATTAGCCACCTTTTTTCCTGCNTATAGAGGTAGGATCAACTTGATTTTTGAAGTGTTTTGGAGGGAGTAGTGAAAAATAGGAGTGGAGTGAAAGGTCTAGCTATAGTTTCAAACCAAGGTGGGTCAGAAGAAGATGGTGTCATGAATCATGCTTGGAATTAGGGAGGAAAGTTTGGTGTGGAGAAGAATATGGTGATTTTATTTATCTTTTTAAAAATACAGTAATACCTTGGTTTGCAAGCATAATTCGTTCTGGAAACAAACTGCTCGTATTGCAAGACATTGCTTGTTTACCACTTTAAAATGTATTAGAAATGTTAGCTCGTCTTGTGAAACACTCACAAACCAAGTTACTCACAATCCAAGGTTTTACTGTAATGATTTTGGGATATCAGTAAGGTATTCCAGCAGTGAAACAAATAGTTGAAAATGCAGAATTCACTTGGTAGAAAGTTTGGGGATGACACAGTGTGTCATCTGTCCTGAGGTGTTACTTCTGAAGCCACCTATATAGGTGAGACCTTAGGAAGTACATTTTCAGAGGGCTAGTAGATACAAAACAATGGGTCAGAAAAGAAGGTACCAAACCATAGGGTTTAAGGGTGGGTGAATTTCAAGGCAGGAGTAATGGTTAATTAGCTGTAATGAAGTCTGGAGGGAAGTCAAAGATGACTAAGAAAAGATCTTTGGTCAACAGTTCACTGCAGAATAATATTGAGGGAAGTTGAGGGATCATCATATTGATTAACCTTCCTCATTTTTGAGAAATAAAAGGAAGACATTTTCAGAGAGTAAGGGTTGCTTGTCTGTGGTTTGTACATAAAGAGATTAGGAAATGAAGTCTTTATCATGGAGAGCATTTAAGCAAATTAATTTTGTTAAAATTGAAGTATTACTTTTTTCATTGACCTCTACTTGACATAATATTGGCTGTCTCACCAAATATAAACTCCCTGCAATTCAGAAATTTCAAACAATGCCCGACTCCCCATTTCTCAGGACTGTTATGGAACATGTCTCTACTTTTGGGGGGCGTGGGTGGGTGGTGGAAACTGGATTAGAATGGAAATCTATGGAAATCAATGAATTATATTTTTAGATTGCTTGGTCTTGATTAGGCAGTTGGTAGGTGGAATCAGTTATTTGACATTTTCTCATAGAATATTTTCCTGAGAAACATGAGATTTACCTCATTAAAAAATTTAAATACTGATCAAGAAAAGACTTTATAATTATTTTCTCATTTAATTCTTACAATGATGTTGGGAGCTAGATGTGAAAACTGAGGGTGGAGTTAAAGACTTCAGGGTCACATAAGTAGTTAGAAGATTGAGTCTATTGGATTAAAATTCATGTCCTTGACATTATGCTTATTTTTATTTTTAAAAAGATTTTATTGGGGAATTGGGAGAGGGAACAGCGTTGAGTAATTGGGGAAAGGGAACAGACAAGTTGTCGTCCTTTTGTTCTTCAGTCTAGTTGGAGGATGTCGCTTCACTGGTCCATGTTGGTATTATCATTGCGCTCTTCCCAGGTGAGGCAGTCGCTCGCCAGCCACTGGAAAATCGCGCACAGCGGTTCATGGCAGCTCATGCTGACCGCCAGCCACGTAAAGTAGCTTATGGCAGCCCACTGCAGCCTATGCTGTTGCCGGTGGCTCAAGGCAGCCCAGCTACAGGTCGAGCTGTTGTTCACCATCTTAGCTGTACAGGGCGCAGCGTCACTGGCCCTCATGTGGGATCCAAACCAGGCCCTGCTGCTCAGAGCTTGTGCTCCCAAGCCAATGCGTCACTTGGCCGGCCCTATGCTTATTTCTTAATGAGCTGCATGGCAAGACATTTTAGACATAGATACTGATCTGGTAAAAGTCATGATGATGGAAGTAGAAGCACCAGAAGAAGTCAGGTTTACAAGAGAGGTAAAAAGGCTGAGCTAAAGAAAAACAGGTTGTTTAACTGCAATAGAATAGAATGAGTGTTCTATTCTATTCTAGAATTCTATAATAGAATACACACACACACACACACACACACACACACACACGAAGTTCTGACAATTAAGTTCGTGAACTCATCCTAGAAAAAGTGCTACATACCTCATACTGTATATCGCTATGGTTACCTTCGAAGTACTCCCCTTGGGAAGCTATGCACTGATGCTAACACCTAGTCCACTCTTCAAAGTATTTTGGAACTCTTTTTCTGGAATGGCCGTCAGAGCTGTCTTGGTATTACCCTTGATGTCCTGAATGGCATCAAAATGTCTTCCTTTCAATATTTCCTTTATTTTTGGGTAAAGAAAGAAGTGTCATTGGGGGCCACATTAGGTGAGTAGGGAGGGTGTTCCAATACAGTTATTTGTTTACTGGCTAAAAACCCTCTCACAGACAGTGCCGTGTAAGCTGATGCATTGTTGTGATGCAAAGCCATGAATTCTTGGCGAAAAGTTCAGGTTGTCTTTTTCACACAGCCTTTTCAGCACTTCCAAATAGTAAACGTGGTTAACAGTTTGTCCAGTTAGTACAAATTCATAATGAATAATCCCTCTGATATAAAAAAAATAGGTCATCAACATCATTGCAACAAGTTCGCAAGCTTAATTGTCAGATCGTGTGTGTGTGTGTGTGTGTGTGTCTGTGTCTACATATATATGTGTATATATATATATATACTTCAGTATATATGTATACTTACAATATACACATTGCGTATATATACTTCTATGTATACATACATGCAATACCCTTCCTATATGTATATATAAAATTATAGATGTCTACACACAGGGTGCCAGAATAATGTATACATATTTTAAGAAAGGAAAAAGCTATTAAAATTGTAATACCCAATATACACTGACAACAAAAGATGAATACAAGTCACGTTTGACTTCTGCAATTACAAGAGGTGCTCTAAGTGGTTACCATCAACGTCCAGACACTTCTGCTTATGGTGAACAACTGCTTGAGCAATGCTGACCAAAGTGTCCACTTATATTATTGGGTTGCCGGAAAAGTCATGATGTATTTTTTCTATGTTTTCGTTGCAAAAATGCACCATGACTTTTCCGACAACCCCGTACATTTTTCTGGCTGTCTCTCTCTCCCTCTCTCTCTATATATATATCTATATCTATATCTATATCTATATCTATATCTATATCTATATCTATATCTATATTTATATCTATCTATATATATATATATATATGTGCACCTATATGCACTATGTAGGATAGTCTATGTTATCTATGCCTATATACTTTTTTCCCATTAGGCAAGACAATTACATTCATATATACTTACATTTACTCTGTTAGTAGTTATTTATAAATATTAGTATTTTAACTAATATTATAAATATTCAAATTAAAGTTCTATTTAATATACAGTGCTTTTAATTTTAAAACATAGCATGTAAAGACTTTTTAGTAGTTGAAATATATACTTTTAGAAAGGAGTAAAACTCAGGACATTTTTAAGGCTTTAAAAAAATTATGTTGGATGATATGAAATATTGGCATGTCTTGGCTTTGTTATAGAGTTGCTCTGTGTGCTCTGTATTGTTAGGGACATGGTGGGAGGACTGGCTTTGGGGTCTTCCTTGAATTAAACAAATGCGTATTGAGTGCCTACTGTGTATCAGGCGCTGTTTTAGGTACTGGGGATATTATAGTGAAAAAATACCAAATTCTAAGTGATAAGAGGGCAGCTTTGGAGGAAGAACATTGTCAGGCATCAGGAACACGAGTGGCAAAGGCTCCTAGGTTAGAGCAAGCATGGCATCTTCCAGGGATGGAAAAGCTGGTGTGACTGTAGCCTGGATGGCAGAGGGACGAATGGCATGAGAGAGAGTTAGAGACAAGCAGGGGCCAGATCATGGAAGTAAAACGTTTATATTTTATTCTGAATAAAGTGGGAAGCCTTTTGCAGAGTTGAGTAAGGGAGATGAAGGGATTTGATTTATAATTTTGAGAAGTTTCATCTAACTGTTGCTGGAGGATGGATGGTGGCGTGGAGTAGGATGGGATAAGAGTAGAAACGGAGATGATTTGGGATGAGCTGATGTAGTCTAGACTAGAACTGATTGCCTTTGCTGAAGATTTTAGCAGAAGAGTGGTAATGAATAGTTGGAATTAAGATATGTAAAACTTGGGGGTTGTCTTGCAGGACTTAATGATATTGCATATAGGAAATGAGGGCAAGTGAGGGGTCAAGATCGACCCCTGGTTTTGACCTAAGTCAAGATTTGGATGGACGGTAGTGCCATATACCAAGATGGAGCAGTTTAAGGGAAGAGCACGTTTGGAATAAAATCAAGAATTCTGTTTTGTACATGTTAGTTTGAGATGCTTATTAGATATCCAAGTGGAAATGTTGAGAGGATAATTATATATGTAACTGTGGAGATGAAGTGACTGGTATAAAGGAGTGAGTCATCATGATATACTTCACTGGATGAGAACTCCTCAAGAAAGGTGTAGATAGTGAAGAGAAGAGGCCCTCTAATGTGGATGGGAATGAGTTCTGATAGCTGGGTGACTCGGAGAAGTTATTTAACCTTTTGATTGTTCTAGTTCTCATGTTTCACAGAGTCACTGTGAATTGAGATAGTAGAGGACTTGTTACTTAATAGATAATACATCACAGCTATTATTATTGCTAGTTTTGCTAATTTTAGATGATTATTTTAAGTATTACTCATATTTAAATTGCCTTTGACAATAAAAAGACCCTTCCTTTTTCAAAATAGCTTAGGGTCTACTATAAACTTTTTCCTAGATAGACGTTTTTACTTCAGGAGTCTTTCACCAAAGAGGAGGCATGGAGAAAGGCAAGGTGAAGGGCAGGAAAGAAAAGGAAGAAAAAGGTTCGGCAGCATCGTAGTGGGCCCTGGGTCCCTTTGGTGGCCCCTTTGTGCATTTTTTTTATTGTTTAGGAATGTTTATCCCCCCATTTTTGGTAACAAACATTCTTACATTTTGGAGGCTTTTTATTGTTTAAACAATTAAAATTGTCCAGCAATTATTATTTTTTATATTCATGAAGGTACACTGTTCTACTGGGATGTTCAGTTCCCATTTAAATGCCTTGGGAAACAAAAATTCTATGTTTGCTGCCAAATCAAAATAGATCATCCCCTTCTCTTGTTCAGAGTGCATTTTTTTTTGCTTTGAATTATATTTAAAAAATCATTTAGAGCAGTACTTCTAAAGGTCTACCAAATAAATGACTGTTCTGTTAATTGTGTTACAGAGTTACAAATTTTGTCAAGGAAAATTACAATTGATTTTNTAGGAAATACACAACTGCAAAGTAAATTGGGCTTCTAAGAAGCTAGTTTGAGATATAAACCATATTTTTAAGTATTATCATGTAATTTAATTCAGATCTGGTATTTGAATGTTGGTGAGCTCTATAAAGTATACCCATGCTTTTGACGAAAAGTTGCATGAGAAAACTCAGAATGATAAATGCTTTTGCATTTGCAAAAATTAATTCAGTTCCATCAAATGTAAACTAATACTGTAAAATATATTAGCAAAAGTTTTTACATTTATTGCTATTAGAACAATATGTAAGGGCAGTGAAAGAAATTGAAATCAAGTGAAATAATTGTGACAAACATGAAAAATGTGAAATTTATTAACATATTAAAAATTATGCTAATATTACTTTGCGATGATAAGTATGGTTTATATAGTTAATAGAATCTTGAGTTTAGAAATCAAGTGAAGGGAAAGATTCCTGGAATGGTGAATTTTTGGGTGAATGCAGTGGAGCAGAAAATGAAAGAAAGAGAACAATAATTGTTTTGTGTTTGAAAATCAAAAGAATTGAGCTTCAGAAATGAGGAGAGAGGGATATTGAATAAAAGAAATATAATTTATTTGTAGAGGTAATAGGTGTTTAAAAATCTTTAGACAAACTGAATCGAAATAAAGTCTTTCCACATCTCATTTCTCTCCTATTGCCATTTTAAGTGAAAATTGTTGTAACCATGTGAGCATAGACTGATCTTGTTAGAACAGAGAAATGAGAAAAAACAAAGAACAAAATGATTTTTTCCCCATGGTGTGGCATACAAATAACTCACTCTTAGTATCACAGAAGCCCTGGTGGAAGTATTTCAAATATGTTTATTAGCTCTTAAAAACTGTTCTTTACTTGAAAAGTTAATTATGCCATAATCAATTTTTAGCCTGCAAATAGTTACTTTATTATCAACAACTTTAATATTTCATCAACTTGGTCAAATATTTTGTTTCATGTACATAATGGGTCAAACTTCTGTGAGATTTCAACTTAAACTTCATTATTCTTAAAAAAGATTTCCTAANTTAACATGTTAACTGACTGAAGCCTATAGTGTTTGAGAAGTGTGGCATACTGATCAATTGCTGCAACTATAAAAATAGACTTTCCAAAGTATTTAATATCCTATGTTCAGTAGGAAGCTCTTGGAGTTATTAGAAGATATTTCTAGTCACTTGGGTAACCATTTTCTTGTAAGCGTATTGTCCTAATATTTGATATAGGCAAGACTATTAGTTTTTTTCCCCTAGAATAGAACATTTGAAGCAATTTTTTTTTTTTTAGTGGGAAGTTGAGTTTCACTATTAGGATTAATCTCATCACAATATTAAAGTTGGTATAATTAAAATGATAATAATAGCTATCATTTTTAACTACCTACTAGTGCCAGCTACTGTCCTAACTACATCTATTGTATTATCTCATTTAATTCATTTACCTTCTGATAGTTTCTACTTGAAGTTTTAATGTAAAGTTCTGAAAATATATTATTATGTAATACTTTTTCTTGGGAATAGGCAAAATTATTAGTCCTACATGTCTAATTACTGAGACTACCCATGTAAGCAAGTAAAAAAAATGTATTGGGAAAGGAGTGTTTTGTTTTGTTTCTTTTTTTTTTTTTTTATGTTTAGTAATCCTACTCTGTTGCCTTGTTTGACATCTTTGCATTGTACCTTTCTCTATCAAGCCTCACCACACACCCCATGTTTGTATCTACTATTACCAGAGTTTACAACTATACAGCTGTCTTAGATTTACTATTGGTTTTAGTCAGTTTTACTTTTTACTGACAAACACAAGAATGTGCCCTTTTTTATAGGTACACTTGTGTACAAGTTTCTGAATGACTTAGTTTTTAAGTTTTTTACTATGTGAAAAATGATTCATCTCTGTTCTATTTTGTAAGAATTTTGGATGCAAATCTTTTTGTTTCCATTTCCGTAGGACCGGATTTTAAAATTCTATGCACAGACATTTACACTTTCACCATTACATATGACCAAGGAAATTTATACAAGCTTAGGTATGTTTATTAAATCATTTTTATGATGTTTTTTCTTTTATTTGTACTTAAGAAAAATGGATAAGAAATAACTTTTTTCAGAAAGCACTGTCATTGAATGGTATAATAGCCATATATATTTTTTTACTTTTTCTTTTCAGCTAAATATTTGGAGTTATGCTTTCTTTCTAGAGAAACCCATATTCCTACTGTTTCAACTGGTATAGATCTGACAAATCCTAATGTGACCCGCTTACTTAAAAAGGTATTCATTTACTATAATATGCTTTTAGTTTTATTTCAATAGTTCTGTACTTAAGAATTCTGATTTTTTGAGAACTGTCATACACTGCTTTGTAGGTTCGTCTTCTAAATGAATATCAGAAAGAGGCTCCATCTTTCTGGATTCGCCACTCTGAGAAGTAAGTCCCCTAATTTATGCCAATATCAAATATAGGTGTATTACTGTCCCAGGTACATTTCAAAGAGGAAGTGTAGAGTGTCTTAATGATTTACATGATAGGGAAGGGATTAGTAAAGTTTTATTTTTTAGCTTTTCATGTGTGTGCTTAGCTATGTGAATGGCTCTATGCAAGTACCATTTTACACCATTCGTTTATCACCAACAAGGTAAAAGAGGGTGTTGTAGCCTCTGATTCTTTTATTATTGTCCTTTGCTACTTTGGAGAAGTTTCTTACGTGTTCTTTCAACTTTTCCCTTTTAGTTCTAAAATTTCGAATAAGGTTTGTAAGAGCAAAGGTGAGTCTAAAAAGGAAAGTTAAATTTGGAGAGCCAGTGTTGAAGTAGAAAGAATATAAGCTTATAAACAGGAAAAAAATTTGGTGTTAATCCCACCTCTGCCATTTACTGAAATATTAAAAAAAGTTGTTTCTGAAGATTACTTAGCACTTTATGTCATTCCATAAATATAAAATATATCACCAGTCATTATATCTATCTAATAGCATTTATTTTTTGTAAAATCGCTTCTTTCCCAAACTTCAGGTATATGGAAGAAATTGTGGAGAGTACTTTGTCCTTATTGTCAGTTAAACATGATCAAAGCCATCTTGTCTCACAAAAGGTTTTGGATCCAGTCTACTTTCTTGCATTGGTTGATACCAAGGCTGTGTGGTTCAAAAAGTGGATGGTAAGGAAAAATGAAATATGTTTTTTTTAAAATCTTTTAAGTTTATAGCTATATTTCAAAGAATAGCTAATGTTTGAGTATTTACTGTGTTCTAAGACTTACAATCACTTTTACTTTTTTAACTCACTTAATTTTTATAACAATCTATGAGATAGGTGGTATTACTCCGTTTTACACATGCAGTAACTGAGGCATAGAGAAGTTAAATGACTGCTCAAGATTGTTTATCTAGTAAGTGACAGAGCCAGAATAGGATTTTAAATTTGATTTAACGTTTAGAGTTTAAATAGGATTTAAATTCAAATGAACCTAAATAATAGGTTCAGTTGAACCTATTAAGCTAAATGACCTATCCAAAATTTGATCATTTTTAGTTTAAAAACTTCAACTTTTTTAAACAGGTGTAGTAGAACATAAGGGTCCAATGCTCATTTTTCTCTGGCTTAGGTGATATGTCTGAAAATATTCCTTCTTTTGCCTCTTACTAAACCTGCAGTTTGGGAAATGTGTTTAATGCTTGAATGCTGGTGATTTCCTATGGAGCTCACGACTGTCCTGGAACTGAAACTAATATTAGGAGTGAAGAGGCTCTTATACTGCTACCTCTCATTTGCTGTTGAATAACAGTGGTGTGTGTCTGGCAGTAGCAGCAGCAGCATTGGCTTAAGCTCTCACAACTTGGTCCCTCGTCTACTGGGCATTATGTATTTGTGGCTGTGGAAGGAGGGCTGGGCCCATGACTTGCCATGAAAAGCATCAACATACTCCTTTATTGCTCAGCACAATTTGGACATTATCTAGCTGATGGCTGTTTTTGCTTTTCCTTGTGTTATCTNCGGTCTTGAAATGAAAGGTCACAGTAAGGGTAGCCCTCTTTAGAGAATAGTCATAGTTTGTAAGAAGAAATTTTTATTTCTAGTTCCCATTTTGAAGGGATAAAGTTATGAGCAGTTGCTCCTCAAGCTGTCCATCCCTTCACTGTTGCTTTGTATGCGACATTTTAGTGATTTCTTTGAAGGAAAATTTTCATTTAATGTTCTTTTACTTCTGGAATATGTGAGCAACTTTGACACATATATTCATTTATTAGGGAAAGAATTTTAAGGAAGCAATTATACTGAATTGTGCCTGTTTATATTTCAAAAGTTTGTATAAATTACTGTTTATGTAAAGTATTATTTCATTTGAAAGTCAGCCTGAATAGAAAATATGATAGGATTTTTGAAGTACCTAAGACTTTTGTATATATCTTGCCATGTGGTCTAAATTTTTGAAATAAATTGTTTTTCTTCAACTTTTCATTTTAAACTGAATGAATAGTTATGATTTACTCCCACTGATTTAAAAAAAAAATCATAGAATTATTTTTCCCCTTAGCATTTTGCATTCTGACTTATTTTCTAGCTTAGTAAATATATATTTCAAAAGATATTAAAATGGGACTTGACTTTTATATGATAATAATCTTATTGTCTTTAGTAAGTAGATTATTTAGCCATCTACGAGTATCCTTGTTCAGAAACCTTTATTCTGCTTTTGCAAGTAGGAATTCTAAATGGGGTTCCTGAAAATTAACAGAAAAGGAGAAATTACTTAATGTTTTTAAACTCTCTCCATAATCCCCCATAATCCATATCACAAAGTTGTAGTTCTTTTTTATATGAATACATAGACATTTTAAGATACGTGTGTATTCTGTCTTTTTCATCTAAAACTTGACACCCTGATTCAGGATTCAGAATGTCTGGTTTCCCAAGGGCTTTAGCTAACTCTTCTGACTCTTCATTTTTTTTTTTTTTAATCACCAGCCTTTAGTTATTTCAGCTGGGAAACAACCAGATTTTGCGGAACAAGTTGGAATCAGTGTGTTATTTCTCACTCGTTGGAGAGTGAGTAGGGGAGAAACTTGGTATCATTCGTGATAGAAGTGGAGCTGAACTCTTCACTGCTGCCCCTTGGTTCACACTGTTTTGAGTAAATTCTGATTGGATTTTGAGAACAATGATTAAGAAGTAAGCTTTCTGTGAAAATACAGAAATTCAATTTTGTATCATGCTGCTGAATGACTTTTTTTCTACCTCAGTGGTTGCAAGGTCAGAAAATACGATGTAGCCTCATAAGAAAGTACAGATTGTTTTGTGAGAAATGCTCATATATCCTAGAATGCAAATGCTTCACCAGGAGCATGTTTTAAAATTAAAGCCCTGGAAATGTGGGACCACCTATCGGGGCCTACTCAAGTGGGGCCGCTCTGTGGGATGAGGCCTTGGAAAACCTTGTGCAGATGATTTCAGGTTCTGCCACCATCGGTCCTCCTCTCCCACTTGGGAGATGCTAGGTCACATGCCTAATATGCATAGTAGTTTTATTTTTGCTTTACATAAAATAACCTATTCTCTGTTTAACACTCAGTTTGAAAAATGAGTTCTTAAGAATGAAAGGACATCTGATTCTCATTAATTGGCTCCTTAAAACAATTATCCAACTCAGTTGGTTAAGAGCTCGCTCAAGAGTTTGAGCTCTGAGCAACACTGGTTCGAGTCCCGGCCCGAGCTGAGCAGCTGCTGAGCTGCCAACAGGTGGCAGGATGGCTCAGCTAAAAAAACCCCCAAAAAAACAATTATCCAGGCCTTGCCTTTCAATGTTTGTTAAATATTTGGAGAACTGGTATTCTAGTGACTGACCATTAATAAAAATGTTTTAAAAATTATAGGTGAGATATGAAGCCCTGCAAACACTGTGTTCGGCTCCACCGTCTGATGTACTCAACTGTGAAAATTGGACCACTCTCTGTGAAAAACTGACAGCATCTCTTTCAGACCCTGATCCTGTGTTTAGTGTAAGGAAATGCTTATAGAAATATTAAAAGTAATTTTCCTGTCAGTCTAGAAGCAATTGGAATATGATAATTTTTTAAAATAGTAGCTCAAATATTCATGAAATTTCAGTTCTAGCTTTTGAATTGTCAAGATTTTCTTTAAAGGAGTTAACTTACTATTTCATGCTTAGGTTCAAAGTATGGTTAGTATAACACTTCATTCCCAAATAATAGAGATTGTTACCGTGTCCATTTTGTTTTATCTTATAAAGGGATATCCAAGTATTTGTGTCATGTTTGAATTAAGAAAAATATTTAAAAAGAACATTTAAAGTGTTTTTGAAAGAATTCATGATATATGAAAATTTGAACTAACAGTGATGAATTAGAATTTATTCTAAAGGATTCATATGCATTCTCCTTATGCATTTAAGTGTTTAGAAATTGCTTGACTGCTTAAAATCTAAGAGTTTAAAAGGTAATTAAGAGGAATCATAGTGCAAATGGAAAATTCAAAAAATTATAAAATTATGAAGTCAGTATAGATAAGTGATTGTATGTAAAAAAACTATACATATAACTCCTCAGGAACACTTAGTATATGATTAAAAGTAAGATTATATTAAAAGGTGCAGTAATTCTGTGGATAATATCTATGATGTAAATAAAAAAAAAATCCTGACTATCCCAGTATCGCATTTAAACACAAATTAGGCCTTTTTAGAGAGCTTTATCTTCATAATTGATAGGTCAGTAAAGACAACTTTGGCTAGAATGTTTTAAGCATTAGTACAAAAGTTAAATATTTTAAACTATTCAACAAATATGTATTGAATATCTACCACGTGCAACACTCTAGTTTAGATACTGGGAACA